CCTCTCCCTCGGTGGACCATTCGCACCGTTTGTATACATAGTAATGCACAGGTAATCACTGTTACACCGATCATTGATCGCGTCAATCAATTATGAACTACATAGACAAGCTCAATAGAACTCATCTCGCATACAAGACTGGCCAAACGTATTATTATGTGCAAAAGTAGCCCGCATAGCGACGCTATAGTGACAACAGGCTCCTATAAACGAAGCCAGCAGCCACCAAATTCAATGAAATCGTTATCACTGCCAATCAATTTAGCATGCAAATAGCTTCTATACGTCTACCAAGACTATAGAAAACCATACACGGTTATATAAGCGAGCCATCAGAACAATTTAACCCACGCTCATATCGTCTATATAGCTTATGCTGTGTTTACTATAGGATTTTAGGGTTATAAGCTAGACAGCCTAGCTGGGGGCTATTAGGCATAGACAAGCTCAAAACCCCAGGATCACAGATATTTAAAACACGTTTCACGCATTCCTCTATCATTTGTTATTTCATTTTAGTTGTTATTACTAATAATTTTATACTTTATGCATATTTTTCTCCGTATCGCATACTGTAATTTGCTACATAGCCGCTATAACAACGTCTTGTTGTTATTATTATGTAATGTTTATTTTTTTGTCCTTTTGAGTAAATTAGAAGCAATATTTTAATGAATGCTGAAAATTCCTTGCCGTATCATTAGTACTGTTTTTGGAATAAAGCAAAAATTATTATTATTATTATGAAGAGTCCCATGGCTGTACAGTAATCTCTGGTCTCATAGGTGTATTCTAACTGATGTCAGCTCGTCATCAAATCTATAACCAGTGAAATTCTTGCAAAGCAATACAAGTTTAGAGGTGTATTCTTATTTGTTTTTTTTCAATGAAAGAGCTGTTTGTTCTTTCAGAGAATCTTTTGACGTTTGCACGATACCTCTTACACGGTGATTTTTGTTTATTTTTATTACTACAAATATTTGTGTTCAATATTTGTTATTTTCTGATGTAAATAATATATATTTTTTGACTATATTAAACCAAAATTATTCTGTTTCATTTTTAATATTTACATTAATGCAATTTTTACCGGTATAAATTGTGAATTTTAATAAATAATTCAATGTACAGTTAATACTTCAGCTGAGGTAAGAATTTGAATTAATGATTTATATTCATTTAATAAATAATTATAAATCATTAGATTACAAAATCTTAAATGAGTGTACGTAGAGTAATCAGAGTGCGTCAGTGGCACAGCGGTAGGATGCTCACTAACCATGCATGTGGTCTTGGCCAATGCACTCCTTTACCTGGCTAAACCAGTAATAACACTAGTAAAGAGGGAAGGTTGGACTTGAAGCTAGCAACCCCATCCTGTAAAAATAAATAAACACCATTGCTATCGCAACTTCAAGCCTCTAGCTTGAAGCCCTATGTTCCACTGGGAACGTGAGAGAATAATAAGAAAAAAAAGAGTAACCAGATGGGTTTCAGTACTGAATGACAATGAACACACTAGACCATTGACAAATGCGCTGATTTCCTCAAAGAAGTAGACTGATGACTGTAACTTACTTACTGTATTCACTGGCCAAATGACAGTATTTATCATTATCGTTCTAAGGGTAATGTGATTACCTCAGCCTATAGGAACTGGTTAAACAAGGTTCTCTATTTGAAATTCATGTAGTTTGTGATAACATATTAAATTCTATGATAAGAACGGAAGGTAACTAAAGATGCCTGTTAAGGATTCCGTCATTCCTCAGTCTTAGAGAACTTTCTGATAGACGTACTGTTAAAGGTAATTTTTCTTTTACCCCCCCCCACTCTTTATTGTGCATGAAAAGTCAAGCTCCTGTCAACACTTAACGGAAAATTATGAAGAAATTTTATATAGACCTTTCAAATGCAAAGTGATGCTTGACAATGAGTTTTTAGTAGCTCTTGTTCTGTGGATGGTGAGAGACATATACAGTTCATATAGAGTTATAACTTGACTCATTAACTATGTTTTAGTTGTTATTATTATTAATCAAATTAGTAGGAATGATTTTAAGTAGTCTGCTAAGTTCTGTGATGAATTGAAAGGAGATAGGTAGTCTACCAGTGATTAACAGAGTTAGTATTTTATCTTTATAATGGCTAATTATTTTTCTCATCTAAAATTGCGTTGGGAAGTGATGCAATCATTGTAGTAATTCAGCAAATGCTATTCGGAAGAAATTCAAGTTCTTTGAGATATTTTTAGGGGACTTTCTAGCTAGCTCAGTAACAGAACAGGTATTTAAATAAAATTCCAAGTTAGTGAGATGATACTATAACAGTATATTATAAAAAATACAGTGATGAGTCATATAAATTAATCGATTACTTGGTTATACGGTTAAAGTTCACTGCTACAAATTATTAATATAATCCACAAGTGTTCATTGTTGCAGTCGTGTCTACTGGTAGAAGCTGTGCACTGGTTGTAGGATAGTTTCGGATGAGAATAAGAGGCTCCTGCAAACTCTAAAGAATACAACATGGTTAGTAATGAAACAAGTAGACAGGATAAACTAGTAAGAAGACGAAGTGGCCAGCAGCGCACTGTATTTAAGATTGTACTCCTCAGTTATTTCAAGTTGAGTCGTTTTAAACGAAAGTCGTGTACAATGTTTCTAATTTCAACATCTAACAAAAGTATCTACAACCGTATTGTTACACAATCCATATACCTACATCAACTCTCTTTGAAAATGGTGATCTTCAGATGTATAAATTATTGTGCATTAATTTATTTGTTGCGTTATTCGTAATGAGTCATTCCGACTACCTGATAGATATTATTCTTTAAATAGACTGACGAAAATATTTCGAATATGATTCTGTGATATTTTCATCACACGGTATCTCATTATTCATCCGTTCGGCTGGTTTTCATTATGCCTAGTCCTATTTCATGTTATTTCTGTTTCACGTAAGCAAATAGCAATATCGATATGAAAAGTTTTCACACTTATAACTAATGCAGGGTAGATGAAACTGTCATCAATAGAATGTGGCGCTACTTGTATGGTAACCAGTGTTGTTATCACCTAAATATCTTCACTTTCTGGATATCGATGAAAAACAGGAGACATTGAAAATGAAAGAGAAATTCAAGCAAACGAATAAGTATAATATTACAAATAAAGAAGATAAAATTCGAAAATAAATGTGGTACTCTGGTTGATTCTGAGCTATAATACCAAGTGGCCCTGACAGTGAACACATGTTTTATGCAAATATTGTGTCTTTCTAACTATTAACCTTAATTCTAAAACGATAACTACCGTAATAATTCACATCTAATCTAAAGACCGTTTACGATTTTGATATAACGGCGAATATTATTAGCTAATGTTATTCATATTCTAGAAAGCGTATCTATTGGGCTTTAGATTTGTCTACAGAGTTGACAGATGTTACATCTTACTGGCTGATATCAGCAGTTAAAAATCAATCACACCAACCAGCAATGCTTTAGGCCGGATCAAGGTTATCTAAACACCGGACAGCAGATTATTTTACACTATTTTTTATTTTTTAATTACAGCTTGATTCCACACTGGAATTTTCAGCATGGATATCGATAGCCCAAATTTTGTAGGCCGACCGTAGATAACAGGTGTGCGTCGGCGGGGGATCGGGCCTCGGACCATGTGCATGGTCGGCGAGAGTCCTAACCACTATACCACTGACGCACGACAGTTCACACACCGAAGAGAATTAGACGACAGGTAGGTATGCCCAGAGCCCTTGAGAGTCGAGACTAGCTTATCTCGCTTACGGCTGAGTTTATCAGATGCGTATCTGGAATATATCCCATTAGACAGGTGAGAACTGTGGTAAATATAACCTAGAAATGTTTAATTTACAAATAATAAACATTGTACTTTATTGGCAGAGATTTTAACACTTGTCTAAATCGAAAAGTTCATGAAAAATCCCCATTCTAATGTTAATAGAGAGAAGAGTCTCCTTTCGTCGAATTCATTTACTTAGCTGTACAATCGCAAATAATATATATGGGTTATTTTATATGTATGTGTATATTAAGTTTCTCAAACAAAAATACAATTAGTTATGGTTATTTTAACCAAACAGGTGAAAATTAGTAAGTTCTGGATGGAGTTACGCAATACAATAAGTATTCAGAGGAATTGGGTGTCGATATAAGAGGGTAGTAAAGAAGAGTTACGTAATCACATGAATAGTTTAATGAAATGCTCAAGGTGAACATGAAAACAAAATAAAATACGCACTGGCATAAGAGTTTCAAGTAGTTAGAAAAACAAACAAAAAGTAAAATTTAACTCAAATCAACAGAGTTGTTACCATGATAGTAGAACTGGCTGGATATTTTTTCCTGTATGCTTAGTTCTGGTTCTTCTAACTGAATGGTTAGGGCTTCTGCAATGCAAAGAGGACGGAAATGTATTGTTTTGGCAGGTCGTTCTTCACTTTGTAAATTACTTTGAAGGAGTCGTTTGTTCAGATGGTACGACCTTTAATGACGAGGTGTTCGATTATTGCACTCCTTATACTGCCAGTACTTCCTTTCTGCAGCCATGCTGGATAATGTTCTTTGACACTTTTTGAAAGGATGCATATCGAACAACTGATGTTTGACAAACTTAATGTACACATACGTACAAAATAATTCACATATATTTGCGACTGTACAGCTAAGGAAATGAATACGCCGAAAAAGGACTCTTCGCTGAACTACCAGTCTTCTCTCTATAAATCGAAAAGATTGTTTAGTCCTATAGTCTAAATGGTAATTTTTGATGTGTTTCTGCCTTGATTGTAATCTTCACTGTTACATCAAAATGAGTGATCTGAGTGTACTGTAGGTAATTATTTTATTTACGTCTAAATAAATGTAAAAATTATGTTTAAAATTAACTTGTTCAATTTATATTTTCTTAAAATTTTATAGATAAACTACTATTTCATTCAGCATAAAGATGAATAAATATCCTATCCTCTTGTTGGTTTTAATTGGAGCATTGAACTATAGTACAGCGTATAGTGTGACTGCAATGATTAAAATTCTAAATTACAAATATGCGGACAAAGTTAAAGCTGATAAATCATGGTGTGACAATTCTCCAAGTCATGCCGCTTGTTCACCAGCCTTCGAATTCTGTCTAAGACCATTCTATTCCCAGTTAGTCTCCACACTGTTAAATTGAATTAATATTTCTGTTATTAAAATGTAACTTTTTAAAATCTTTTACGAGTGAAGGTAGTTTGTCTAATATTTTAATAAGTGACATACAACTGTCCCGTTCAATCCCTAAACTGTACACCACTCCACTAATGTCGTAGGTTTGTCAGATTATTTTGATTAAAGATAGTTTCTTCTGGAGAGGTTATCTAAAGATTTTAACAGTGTTGGGGATATTTAGTTGAACGTGATTTTATCTATGCAACCAGAGGAATAATCCAGCCGACGAGTCCCAAATAAAACAAAATGCACATCCTGGATTTCACTGCTAGTCACTATCCACAAATTAAATTCTAATTAAATTCGTCGAGACTTGGCGCCGCGTCACGAAGGGCACCTTGAACAAACTAGAAACTTACATCAACAGCTGTCTTCGCTGAATACACAAGATCAGATGGCCAGAAAACACCAACAACAGGGACCTCTGGCAATCAGCGAACCACCTCAGCAGGAACCGATTGTGAAACAAATACGCAGGAAGAAATGGAGATGGATTGACCATACTCTGAGAAAACAAACCATCAAGTGACATCACTCGAGTGGAACCCGAAAGGGAAGCGGCGAGTTGGTCGTCAGTGCAGAGGTGACTTGGAGGAGGTCATGTGAAGAGGAGATGAAAGCATGTGGGCAGACTTGGAGCCAGGCAAAAACTTTAGCAGAGAACCTAACTCAATTGAGACGCGCGGCTAAAGCCCTATGTTCCTTTAGGAATTAAAGGAAATAATAATAACTAAGAAAACTAATCATCTAAAACCAAAAAGAAAGTAAACCTGTATCGAGTCTTTCAGAGTATTGTTTACATTAGAAACTCGAGTGATAGATAGTATTCTTCAAACTATAATGTAAGCATATTGTGTTTTAACTAGGCACTTTGCTAACAAGTAAACTGTTTTTATTTTTATATACACACATATATTAGGCAATGTGATACAACTTATAAGTTTGGTTCACCTGATCCACAATACCAGCATGTAAATAATATAAGTTTCAGTGCAAAACTCTCATCAAAGTTGACTAATCCACTCCAATTTACCTTAAAGCAATGGCAAGTAAGTGCATGTTTATGTATTAAAATACATTTAAAAAAATTGAAACTGCTCATTGTTGAATTAATTTATAGGATTACTTTAAAACACAGTCGATCTTACCTTATAGTAATAAATTCATAATTATCAACTGTGAAAACAAAGCAGATTAATTGGCTATAGGATTTCATCATGAGCTGACATCAGTTAGAGAACCATCGGAAAACCTGCAGGGAGTACTGGACAGCTGTTTCGTCAGCTTAGTTTGGGATTTTTTGGCGGTACTTACCCCCCAGGGTTCGAACCCAGGACCTTCTGGTTACAAGGCTAGCGAGCTCGTACATCATTAAGCCGCTGGGACCCGATCCAATGGCCCCTGAATTCCAACTTCTATCAAACCAGATTAACTTTTAAAACGTCTTAAAATTAGGATAACTAACCATTACTTCAATTAGATCCTAGATGAGGTATCATTTCATATCTAGTGAATATCAGCTTACAACTTTTTAAAGAGTATATTACTTTGTTTGACCTCGTCTAGTTTACTAACCGGTTCTAACTCCATAAAAAGAGGGAAAGTAAGACATGGGGCTAGCCACCGTATCCCCTAAGAAAATCAATCCAGTGGCCAAAAAAACTACAGAGCACAGATAAAATGTAGTGAAAATACATTTATTCTTCGCTGGAATCGGAAAGGCAAAATGACACCGACTGGTGGAAGCCTTTGAAAAGTCAGTTAGCCAATTTTATCTTCTTTCTATGAAGCAAAAATAAGCATGGGGGCATAGAATATTTGTTCGATGTACTTTGAATGCATGAACTAATTTTGCTAAGCATAACTCAATGTACCATTTAAAGTCGAAATTCAGAGTAGGTTGAAAAGACATAGTAAGAAGGGGCTTTTTCTTAGTGTCACATTGTGAAGTCTGATTGGCAAGCCACCAGTCACAGTAATATCCAGTAAAAATGTGAAGCCTTATTTTCACACCTCAGTAATACATTTTTACCATCTCAATATCAAAAAAAGAAATTGAAAAACCACATTCACATGCAAAAAGCATTAATTTCATGCATGCATCCACATCTAATTATCCTAACATCTAATAATGACGCCCACTGAATGGCTTTTTAAGGTAGATGGATAAGTTTTCCATTCGAATGGCTGCTTTATATCTCCCCTTACCAACTCAATTGACCTTAATAAGAATATGCCATTGAAGGCATATTTTTATAATGTAAAAGAACAAGTAGATTTTACCTTTACTTACAAAGTTTATAGTAAGGCCTCAGAGGAATAAGAAAGTTCATTAGCTCTCCAATTAGACAGTGTGACTAATATTCTTTCGAAATGTAAACACATCTTATGATGACAATTAAAAATGAATATTGTGTACATCGGTTAAAGGACTTCATCATGAACTGATATCAGTTAGATAACCATTGGAAAACCTGCAGGAGTACTGGATAGCTATTTCATTCTAGTTTGGGACGGTGGACGCGAACTGATGAAGAGTCCCAAACTAGGATAAAACAGCTGTTCAGTATTCCCTGCAGGTTTTCCAATGGTTCCCTAACTGATGTCAGCTCATAATGAAATTCTTCAACTAGTCAAACAAAATACCTACAAAACCAACGATTACTTGAATATTGTGTACATCCACAAGTATAGTGACTAAAGACAAAGCAATATAACTATCAGTCATTGAAAATGAACTTACATTCCTGTTCACCAGTTAAAGTGTAAAGTTAAAATTAATTTTTAAACCAATCTGATTTATGATTTATTCTTTCATGAATAATACACAAGCAACTAATGGTACTCAGCGCAACTGTAACAAATCAAGACTACAATCCATCAAATTTAATTGATACTGTAACTTACACAATGTCATCAGTTAATCCTGCAATATCTGAGAAAGCTGCAAACTGGGAACCGTTTACGCTTACTTCTGAGAACAGTGTTATGTCGTGAGTTGAATTTCCCAAACCTTTACATATTTAAAAGTTCTCTATTTTGTTTTATTCTTTTATGTTCTTAGCGGAACACAGAGTTTCAAGCTAGAGGCTTGAAGTTTCCGCAGCAGTGATGTTTATTTATTTTTAAGGATGGGGTCGCTAGCTTCATGTCCGACCTTCCCTCTTTACCAGTGTTATTACTGGCTTAGCGAAGTTAAGGATTGTGTCGGCTGGGAATCGAACCCCGGACCACCTGTGTGGTTGACAAGCATTCTACCTATATGCCACCGACGCACATTTTCTATACTGCTAGCAGATATAACAGGATGGAAATAATGAAATAAATTACTAGCAAATGGTTTCGTGATGTGAACTCTGAAGATGTTGTCTAGAAGGACAATGAGAACTTATTCAATTAAACAATACACCTGAGAGAACACAGCCATTATAAAAACATTCACCCGACATATATATCTCTCCTAAATAAACAAACTAAGCATCAATTTTTACTGTTTCGCTTTTCAAAACCTTCAAGAGTTAATCTTTTGTCCATGTGACTCCTATTGAGAATGTGACACCATATGCTATTTAAGTACATCCTTATCAGTAATATGCATACTAATATAACCTAAAGATGATAAAATATTTTAGGATAAATGTTATCTCTAATCTAAAATTCCCACTCAGAAGATGCCTATACGAAGTTAACAATACCTTAAATTTCTTTCAGCACTTTACAAAACAATCAGTGAGGAAATAGTAATCCAGCTGTAGCAATAACGACACTTGTGGGATCTTTTAGCTTGAAATTCTCGAATTCCTAATGAGAATTTGTGGACGACGAGATCAACTGACCTTCAGTAATCAGGATATTCACTTTCATTCATACGATATTCATGCATCTCAGATCACTGAAGACAGTTCGATTTGAGACATTGCACAGCATGAGCAGAAGTCTAACGTGTTGGCTGTTATATTCAGTTTGCAAAGTCAAATAACTTATGCATAACAGCATATGTATTATGTAATAAAAGTGTAATGGAAAAGAAGTTAGATGTATACGCACCTATGCGCTTCTCGAGTAAATAGAAATAGGAAGTCTAATGTTAAATGTAATGCCGACAAATAATTTTCGGTTTTAATTATTCTATTCTTTACATTGTGCAATGGTGGTTAAGCGGTAGGAGGCTAGCCAGCCATTGAGGTGGTTTACGGCCAATGCACTCCTAAACCTTGCTTAGCAAGTATTAAGGCTTCTAAAGAGGCGAGGTTGGATTTGAGGCTAGCAACTCCACCCGGTAAAAATAAATCACTGTTACCGAAACTTCAGAGCTCTAGATCGAAGCCCTATGTTCCACTCAGGACCCACAGGAGTTATATATACATTCTTTATTTTAGCATCAGACAATATAATATAGTAATAAGTGTATTTGTATAAGGCTTTTCCACGTAATCTTTACCTGTTATTCATCTTTCCTTTTTTAGAATTGAGGGTGTATTCAAGGTATTCAATTCTCCATTGGTTCACTGAAAATCAATACATCTGTAAGTGCATCTAATATGTTCAGTGTTGAGAAAATTTTAAAAAATGGTTAGATGAAATATGATACGCTTAGCTATTTAACCAGGTTACCTTTACACGTGCTTATTCACATTCCCACTACAATCAATCTATCTATTTATGAAATTATTAGTAAAAAATTACTGAGTGTAATGAAGAAGCATTAAATGTTAATTAAGGCTCACAAAACACTAAATATCTGTGTTAAACAAGACTTTTCAGGAGTCGCGCATATAAAATATACTCATTTGAATTTAGGAATAGAAGAATCATGAATAAGAAGGATGTTGGCTGACTCAAAAGTAAAACAAGCTTGTAGATAAGTGCAATCAATATTGATTTTATTTCGTAGATAGTGGTCATCAGTGTAATCCAATATGTTCATTTCGTCCTGTCTGGGTCCCATTAGCTGGAAACACCTGCAATCTTCAGTGAGTACACCATTCACCAAATAACGTCAGTGTTAATCTTCAGACAGTATCGAAGCGTCCATGCTAGCAGCCTATATGCCAACAGAAGTCAACCAACAATTAACAGTGCGCTGCGATTGCAATCCACCTAGCTTAATGGCCACATTGCAAACTTGACTGACAGAATTCAGTCCACATCAAAGATAGGACTAGACACCTTACATCAGTTACTTATTAGTGTCCAATCAGAAGCCAAACATTTTGGTTCGATCAATCAACGGGAAAAAACACAACTGACTTAAACAAAATAAATCAATATTATATAATTTCTGTATTCGCATCTGCTTTTAATATCACATTTTAAATAGTGTTACACAATTATTTTTACTTTTTTTACTACCTAAGGTGCAATTAAAGAACATGTCGAGGAAATACCAACTTCTTAGAGGAAACCGATTACTTATTTTCTATATGTACATGGCTATTACAAAGTCATTTATAAATATTGAATAGAAATGAAATGTTATGCAATCGGCTACGCAGCTTTTTTGATTGTTTCTTTGTTATAGACTACTTCATGACCATTTTTTTTACCATTTTTTTTTATTGTATTAAGTGATGCTTTAAGAAATGCTGAAGGGAGGATCAATAATTTTAATTTGTTAAAAGTTATAGGAACATAGAGAAGAGTATAAAGTTACTGGAATAGAAAGTATGAATTCCGATAATGCTTGAAACGTTACATGAAATAATCATCAGCAAGTTACAGCCTTAAATGATGGAGACCAGTTAGCAGTATCGCCCTTTCTTATTCAGCTTGCTGACGACTACAAGTGGAATCCAGAATGCTCATTTCATCCTATTTTAGACTCATCACCTGGATATACCTGCGTCCCCAGTGAGTGATTGTGTTCCCACTGAGCCTCGAAAACCCAATCCACCTGTGACAGACACGTCGATGTGATGAGTCCCAAAGATGATGATGACTAGTCATCATCAATCAAAATAAGTTCATGTTAATCCTTAGACATGGTTCGAGCATCCACACTAAAAGATAGAATGTCAGAAGAAATCGAGCAATGGGATAAAACATAATCTATCTGGAGAAATACAGCTAAACCTATAAACAAATATGTGGTTATACTGGAAAATACTGTCTTTAGAGTGAAACTATCCATTTCTAATTTACTTTCATAGTGGTACTATTTATTACTTGTCAGTAGTATAGTTCTTTCAATGTCACTTGTTGTAGTTTGTTTCGGGTAAATTCTGTTTTCTCTACACTTCACACATTTGTTTACATACCCAGCAGTGATGATGTCGTATATCAATATGCATACAGTGCTGTGCATGAAAAATTCACACAGGTATAAAGACAAAGGCTAACTTTACAGATTAAGACTTGGACATAGACATCGAATGAATGTTCGAATAGATGGTTCAAGAACATCAAGAATTTAGGCAAACGACATTCATCCATGATATATTTATTAAAACTAAGAACAATGGTAATGTGTAATTCAATATATCTTTGGTTAATTGATAGTTTACATAGTGAAATGATCTTGTTTACTGGTTGACTTTCTGAATATATTTTATTGTTCATAATCCTACCAAACACTACTCCGCAACGTTGAGACTTCCTCTATAGTTCTCCTTCTTTTCCATTTGTCTCAGACGTAGCAGAACTTTCCACGTATGATGAATGGGTGGCGAGTAGTTTTTGCCTCATTTTTTCTCAACAGATTCGATTTAAAAAGCTTCTGCTTTCCATCTTTGTCCACAATGCTCCATTAGATTTTAAAACATCACTGCATGTAGACTTATGGTTGAGTTTTTATTAATGTCTAGTAGTCTAGATTTCACTGAGTTTTCATGCTCGGTTAACTGGATTCCAGCCCACATTTTCGGTCTATCTGTTTAACCTACGTCCAATATGCAATGTTAGATGAATTGAATCATTTCGTTTAATGAAAGGTTTGTTTCCAAAAGAATTTGTGTTTGAATGCCACATCAGTCTTCTTAGGAATTCTATAAAAAGTTTCGAAAATTCTATGTCTATGCAACGTAGTATCTTAAGTTTTGTGAATTCCAGTATACAACTAGCATGCACACGGTCCGTGGTTCACCCCCCTGCCGACGCACACCCGATATCAATGGTCTGCCTGCTAAATTTGGGCTACCAATATCACATGCTGAAAATTCCATACTTGTATCAGAAATACTGTGTGGAATCAAGCCATAATAAAATTTAATTTAAATTCAATGAAGATATTAGCTCTATATTGTAGGGAATGGTCTAATGGTATAGAAACGTGTAATACTGCTGAAAAAAAGATTAAAAACTGGAAATCAAAATGGAGAGGAGGCATCGAAAGACGATTTGAGCTTGGCAGAACTCCACACTTTCATTGTAACCAAGTGAAGCATAGGACAAAGTGATGCATATCTGTTTCCATTCGACAGTTACGATGTATGAAGTATTAACCGAAAGCAAAAAAAGGAGATGAAGAATTCATGATTGAGATTTGGCTGTATATTCAACTACTTATATTACTGAAGCTCTTTCTTCAGGCTGACCTATTTGATAATTAATTTACACGTATTCTCCGAAAGTGAAACAGTCAGCTTAGTTTCTAGAATGATGTAGACAGATGGTCAGGTATAATGTCTTTTTAGTTATGATGTATAATGAAGGTTTTCTACACTGATGTTTGTGTAAAGCTTCCAACTACAAAACAAATCCGTGTATCCTGAAACTTACTCTAGATTAACGAGACAGTTAATTCCGAAGGAGTTGCACCACCATGCTATCTCCCCACCAGTGGCGATCACTGCTAAATCAAAAATGCTTCAAAGGTTTTGAAGCAGTTTCCTGACATTGTAAAGTTTATGTTACGTGACATATATATCTCCTCATACTGTGGTGAGAGCAGGCTGCTAGCCAAGTGGTAGACATTAATCTACGTCAATGTCTAGGTCACTAATATTGGCCGTGAGAAAATATGAGCAAGGCTGATTCAACAACCAATCACACCAGACTTAAACGTGGGCAAATATGATTCGCAGATAGATGGCTCCACTTTCCGAGAAACTCGAAAACAACCAATCAGAAGACTGCGTTCGTCTAATTGAATAAGCTATGATAATGTACATGAAATATATATAAATACGTGCTGATTCCCGTAATTAAATGATCTGTTGCCTAGCCCTTGTCTTCCGTTGTTACAGTACTTAATGAATTCTAAATCCTGATGATAAATTTCAATGAAACATTTTTTTTACTACATATTTAATATTTTCTACTACGTATCTAATACCCTGTTGGAATGATTGTCAGGTCAAATATATAGGTCAAACTAGTAGAACACGGGCAGTTAGACTAGATGAATATAAAAATCTAGTAAAATCTAGATTAGCTGACCGGAAAAAGATAAGAAATGTAGAGAATAGTTCAGCCGTAGCACTACACAACAGGCAATTACACACAAGCATACAATAGGATGGGATAAGATGACAGTTTTAAAATCTAATGTAACAGGATGGAGGGAGAGATTCATAACAGAAGCTTTGTTTGTCGAATCAACTGCAAATACATGTAATAGGAATGATTCATCACCTGTCCACCCAGATATCTGGAAAATTCTACTACCCACACGACAAATAGGAGAAGATAAAGAAAACTATAAAACTCAAGTTTCGAAGTCGTGTAATTACAATTGATATGATTATGAACAATAAATTGTGTTCGAAACGTCATCCAGAAAATAATACTGTTTCTTCACTGTGTGATACATCTAATAAACAAACTAATATGGAATTACATAATTAAGAAGGTTTATCACCAAGAATTAGTTTTTTGTGAACTTGCATCTAAATCAAAATTGCCAGTAGTTTCCTAAACGGTGCTGAACCATCTTTAGTGAAACAGTCTTAAAGCAGTAAACATTTACTGAGAATTAGAACAACGAGCTTGTAATGACATAAAATTGAAAACAGGCAGAATGATAACCAGTTATTCAATAGTTACGCTAACGAACACTCATCTGTAAAGTCGGTTTCAAATATGGCAGTACCCACAGTAGCCTTCTGATAAATCACAGGTGTACGAAGTTATATCTATATTAAATGATGAGAAAACTGTTGAAATAGATTTTTCAGTATGAAACACACAGCTGCGAAGTAAGACGCCACAAAATAAAACACCACCAAAGAGAATGAAAGTGATATGAAATGAAATACAGTCAATCTGTTGAATGGAGTAGTTTAGGGAAGTAAACACTCGATTTGTTTGAAACAAATACAAATAGATGATCTGCAAATAGAATAGATCATATGTATACCTATAAAAAACCAACCAACAACCGATTGCTCAATGAATATGTAAGAAAAAGTGGAGATGGATCGAGCACACGTTGAGGAGGCCGTCGAATGACAACGCGCATTAACCAGGCAATAGCTGCAGTGGAATCCAAATGGGTAGGGACGAATGGGTCGTCTGTACGAGGTTAATATGCAGGAGACATTGTGAGGAGGAGATGAGAGATTACGGGTAATTGTGAACCCAGCTGAATAGGGCAGCAGAAAATAGGACAAAGTGGAGATGTGTTGTTGAAGCCCTATGTTCAACTCGGAACCCATTGGAATAGTAATAATATACATACCAATAAGACTTATAAACATGTTAATCATTTATAACCAGTTCTAAGTGATGTGAGTAAAATGTAATCCAAGTGACAAATATCCTGTTTTTAGCAGGAAACAAGGATTCATTGCCTGTCATTAGACAAATAATATATCCTTTTAAGATAAGAAATTATTTTCACAAGGAATATTCGCAAAGGAATTACAAGTGTTTGAAGCCTGTGGAAATGGCCCCAAGCTTTTCATGAAGAAGATAACACAAATTTCTCATTTAAATCAAAATGATAAGAATCATATGAATGAAGACAAAAAAAAGTAATAACTATCAATGGAGTAGTAATAATAAGCACTAATGTGACAAAACGAGAAGTAGGCGGTCTTTATATCAACCTATAGTCAGAATACACATCTTCCAGATCAGCTGTTTATTTCAGGATTTGGACTATAAACTGGATATAATCTCAGAGTTTCCGGGTAACTCTTATTCTAAA